TTATTTATGTATCTATGTTTTTCCAAACTTGCCTTCTGCGAACACAAAAAGAACATATTTTGAAGAATGTTGATAACCAAACTGTTTTGGTTACCAACTTTTCTCAAAATATCTTCTATGTTCCACATAAGAAAGTGTGTCATAGAGGTTTGGAATCACATGAGAGTAAGTAAATAACAAAAATTTTAATTTTGGGTGAACTATCCCTTTAATTATATACTTAAAGGAAGAACACAAAGCACAGTTATACAAATATTCCCGCTCGCATTAAATATTAGATTTTTTAAATGATAGTTTAAAGGCAGGGTAAGCGATTTCTTGGGTGAACTATCCCTTTAATTATATACTTAAAGGAAGAACACAAAGCACAGTTATACAAATATTCCCGCTCGCATTAAATATTAGATTTTTTAAATGATAGTTTAAAGGCAGGGTAAGCGATTTCTGGTAGCCAGTGTTGACATTTGAAATCACCAAAACAAACACGCCCCTACCCCAAAAGGGTCTCGCCCCTATTTTGATAGCTCCGCCCCACACATACGTACGCAACCCAGGCAACGATTAGTTCTGTGAAACAAAGCTAAACCAATGTTACACCGTGTCTACACCGGACGCGAGTGGTGCGGCACGACAAAATACTATAGAACTCATTATAATCAGTGATGTGTCTACACCATAGATACATATACATATCTATGGTCTACACTGTATGCGGCGCGGCACGACAAATCCCCGACAGAAAACTGCTGCTGCATTCTGTTTATGACGTATTGACGCAAATTTCAAATGATTTTCAACGGTCGCTTTGTTGCGTCCAGTGTAGACAGACTTAAGCTGTTGCGGCACAGACACGGTGTTACTCAGCTATCGAGAAGAAACAAAGCAACCTCGGCGTCCACCTTTTCCCCTTCTTTTTTTTTTTTTTTTTTATCCGCCATCTCTACCTTTGTCGCTTGACTTGGCTAATGTCCGTCTTGCGCACTGAACACTCCCCTTGTCCAAATACCCATACTTGCGGTTTTGGCCACTTGAGAGCGCGTGCGCGCGACAGGAAGTAAGTGCGCAAGACTGTCCCAGGTCTTAAAAACGCCAGAGCGCAGTGCCCTTAAAGCACACTAAAACCACACTATCTCGAATACCGCTCCGGAGCGCTATTCGAGGCTTAGTGTATCAGGGGGTCTGAATACTTTCCGTACCCACTGTATATATTTTTAAAAAAATTAAATAAAATAAAAAAAAAAAGGGGAAAAAAAAGATTTATTCCACAATTACAATTTATATTCATTCCATATTTCAAGCCCCTTACTGCTGATTGGCTCCAAGTTTGTTTTGCTAGTCGGCCCGAATCAGTTTTCTAAAGCGTTTTTGAAAAATCGCTTACCCCACCTTTAAAGACAGAGCC